ATCAGTAGTTTGTTCCTTTTTATTATTGAGTAGTATTCCATTGTATGGTTATATCAAATTTTGTATGTCTATTCACTAGCTGATGAACATTTGGATTGTTTCCAGTTTGGGGCTACATTGACTAATGTTGCTATGAACATTCACATATGTTTTCATTTCTCTTGGGTAGATAGATTCCTAGGAGTGAAATTGTTAGCAGAGTTAAATGGTAAGTTTAACTTTTTAAGAATTTACCAAACTGTTTTCCAACATAGCTACACCATTTTATGATAATGTATTTCAGTTTCTCTATACCCTCATCGATTATGGCCATTCTATGTAGGTGTGTAGTAGAATTTCACTGTGGTTTTGTTTTGGTTTTTGGTGGCTGGCCAATAGGGGATCCCAACCCTTGAACTCAGGGTTACCACGCTCTAACCAACTGAGCCAACTGGCCAGCCTCACTGTGGTTTTAATTTGCATTTCCCTAATGACTAATTACATTGAGCATTTTTTCATGTACTTATTAGCCATTCGAATATAGTACAACTGGCTATTAAGTACATGAAATCTTTTCAAATCTTTTGTCCAATTTGTTGTTGTTCTCTGGGCAGCTGGCAGGTACAGAGATCAAACCCTCAACCTTGGTGTTATCAGCACCTTGCTCTAACCAGCAGAGCTAACTGGCCAGCCCCTTGTCTAATATTTAATTGGGATTTCTGTCTTATCACTGAGTTATAAGACTTCTGCGTATATTCTGGATACAAGGCCTTTATTTGATATATGATTTACCAATATTCTCTCCCAGTCTGTGGCTTATCTTTTCATATACTTGTCTTTTAAACACAAAAGCTTTTTTTTGTCTTTTGTCTTTTTTCCGTGTCCGGCAACGGATCGCAACCCTCAGTGTTGCCCCCGTACCGGACCGGGGACCGGCAACGGGATCGCAAGCCTCAGCGTTGCTCCCGCGCCTCGCTCAGCCAGTGAGCGGGAGCCGGTCTGTATGTGGGATCCGAACCCTCGGACGGGAGCGCCGCCGCGCTTCCCAAGCGGCGCACTATCCAGTGCGCCACCGGGCCGGCCCCTAAACACAAAAGCTTTTAATTTTGATGTAATCTAATTTATCAATATTGTCTTTTACAGATCATGCTTTTAATGTCACTTGTAAGAACTCTGTCCAGCCCAAGTCATGAAGATTTTCTTCTGTTTCCCACTAGATGTTTTTGGCTTTTACATTTAAGGCTATGATCCATTTGGAGTTAGTTTTTGTGTGTGTAAAACATATGTCTAAGTTCTTTTTTTTTTTTTGTCATGTGGATGCCCAATTGTCCCAGCACCATATATTGGAAAGACCATCCTTTTCACATCAAATTGTCTAAGTGTCTTTGTTGAAAATGAATAGACCATAAACATACGGATTTATTTCTAGATTTTTGATTTTGTTCCCTTGATCTATATAACTTCGTCAGTATCATACTATCTTAATTATTGGGGCTTTGTAGTGAGTTTAGCAATCAGGTGGAGGAAGTCCTTCAACTTTGTTCTTCTTCAAAATTGTTTTAGCTCTTCTAGATCCTTTGCAATTCTATATAAATTTTAGAATCACCTTCTCAATTTCTACATAAAAGTATGCATGGACTTTGAAAGAGACTGCATTAAATTTAGTTTCAAAAGAATTGCAATCTTGATAATATTGAGTCTTCCAATCCATAAACATGAAATGTCTATTTATTTAGATATTGTTTAATTTCTCTCAGCAATGTTTTGTGCTCTTCGGTGGAGAAAAATTGCCCTTCTTTTGTTAAATTTATTTCTAAATATTTTATTATTTTTGATGCTATTGTGAACAGAATTTTTATATTCTATTTTTTTTTTTTCCCTATAAGGGGATCGCAACCCTCTGCACGGTGTGGTCCGCACCATGCTCAGCCAGTGAGCACACCGGCCATCCCCATATAGGATCCGAACCTGTGGCCTCGGCGCCACCAGCGCCGCACTCTCCCAAGTGAGCCATGGGGCCGGCCCATGAACAGAATTTTTAAACAGCTTTACTTAGGTATAACCGATGTACAAAAAACTGTACATAATTAATGTATACAATTTTTTCTCAATATAGGCATACATTTTATTTATATGTTATATAAAGTTCATTATGCTAATCCATCAGGTACTAATCATTATTTTTATTTTATTTATATTTTAACTGACAAATACAAATTATATATATTTATCATGTACAACATGTTATTTTGAAATATGTATACATTGTGGAATGGTTAAATAAGCTAATTAACATACATTACCTCACATACCACTTTTTTTGGTGTGGTGAGAACACTTAAAATCTACTCAGCAATTTTTGACAACACTGTTATTAACTACAGTCACCATGTTGTACATTAGATCTCTTGAATTTATTCCTCCTATCTAACTGAAATGTTGTATCTATTAACCAAGTTCTCTCCCCACCTCCCCCACACCCCCCACCCCAAGCTCCTGGTAACCAACATTCTACTCTATACTTCTTATGAGTTCAACTTTTTCAGATTCCACATACAAGTGAGATCATGTGGTATTTGTCTTTCTGTGCCTGGCCTGTTTCACCTAAGATAATGTCCTCTAGGTTCTTCCATGTTGTTGCAAATGACAGGATTTCCTCCTTTTTAAAGGCAGATGTATACATATATCACATTTTCTTTATCCATTAATGTGCTGATGGAAACTTAGGTTGAGTCCATATCTTAGCAGGGGGAGTAGGAGTAGGAATTATAGATAACATGAGACTGACTACAATTACTAAAGTTGGGTGATAGGTTCATTTTGTGTCTGTTTGAGATCTTCCATAATAAATAATTCTTTTTTTTTTTTTTTTTTAAGATGACCGGTAAGGGGATCTCAACCCTTGGCTTGGTATTGTCAGCACCACGCTCAGCCAGTGAGCTAATCGGCCATCCCTATATAGGTCCCGAACCCATGGCCTTGGTGTTATCAGCACCGCACTCTACCGAGTGAGCCACAGGCCGGCCTCATAATAAATAATTCTAAAGAAAATACACATTAATGGAATGAATATATGACAAAAATAAATTTAATCAGTAAAACTCAAATATATAAGTAGGCAAATCCTTCTGTGCACAAATATCTACTTTAAAAAGTAATTCTTACTTGTTTAAGAATCAGGGACTTTTCAGATTGTACAGAAAGAAGGGCAGTAGGCCATTCCCTGGAAGAATGACAGAAGCAAAGGACTTGTTATTAAGCAGACTGAAGGGCCACTGGAGGAAGTTTGTCAACACATTGTCAGGTCAGCATTAGGCTGTTACCTGATCAAATGTTCAAAAAGTGAGACTAATTTATTTGGAATTCAGAAATTCCAGGTTGTGTGAAATTAGTTACTCAAAAAATGTGAATTCTCTTGGGGCCGGCCTGGTGGCGCACTGCTACAGTGCGCCGCTTGGGAAGCGCGGTGGCGCTCCCGCCGAGGGTTCGGATCCCACATACAGACCGGCCGCTCACTGGCTGAGCGAGGTGCGGGTGCAGCACCGAGGGTTGCGATCCCGTAGCCGGTCCCAGTCCGGTACGGGCGCGACAATGAGGGTTGCGATCTGTGGCCAGTCACGAAAAAAGACAAAAAGGAAAAAAAAAATGTGAATTCTCAAAAAACAAACAAACAAACAAACAAAAACCAGTTCAAAACTGCTCAATGCTTTGC